CCTGTTGCTGGGTGGATTGATTTAAATCACCAGAAAATCACTGATTTCAATCACGTTTCCCACTGAGACTTCTTCACATATTTCTTCAAACGAGAGTGCAAATCTGATTGCGATACAGCATGTTAATTTACAACTCAGTACAGCATTTTACAACATCTAAGAGGGTATACTTTGCGTAATTTTTTAGACAACTCAATTTTTTTTAGGAAATAGTACAGAATTCTCATTACCTATGTCAGCAGCAGTACGTTAGGAATGGTAAGAACTAAACCACACACAGAAACACAATAGTACTTATATATATACAGGGCTCAACAATTAGTGTAATCTACTCGCCTGGGGCGAGTAGATTACAAGCTGGCACAGCCGCACAGCGCAGTAAGCACATGCGCAGCGTGCCAAACCGCACGGCTGGCAAGTGGGGCTCACCGCTGCTTGGCGAGTCCTGTGTGTGTATATATATATATGTGTGTAAAAATCTTAATTGTTATATAAATGTTTCACATGTGCAGTTGAAACCATCTCCTGAGTTACCAGCTGTATGGCTGTCCTTAAACTTTTTTTAAAAAAAATTCCGATTTTATGAACTCTAACGGAAAAGTCCTCAAAACACTAAACGTACAGTGTGCTTAAAACTTCTACAACTAGCTTTCATCTTCTCCACTCCCCCTGTCGATTTGATGCAGATGTGATTCCAGATTACTAGAAATCTGAGACAGTGCTTACTTAGAATGCACTTCGTTTTGGAGTAAGCTAAGCTAAACTTTTTTTCTAGCGACATCCAATATAGCAAACAGCTTCGGAATTTACTTGTTAAATCACATGTGTAGTAAAAGGCATAGAGAGAGACTTGAAGAATGATGGATTGCAGAGTTGATCCACACTGTTATTAAGATGCATCCACATCTTCCTCCACATCATTTTCTCCTAATAAGCAGTTTTCCTTAAGATGTTTTGGTCTTGCAGCTAGGCCCTGTATGTTCTTCTTGCATTGCTTAAACTTGACATGTTTTCTACCCAGGGAACGTATTTCTTCCAACTGTTCCCAGAGAGTATGTCTACACTTGCACCCTAGTTCGAACTAGGGATGCAAATATAGACATCTGAAATAGTCAATGAAGCAGGGATTTAAATATCCTGTGCTTCATTAGCATGATCTCGCCGGCACGTTACTCCGATCAACAGCTGTTTCGAAAGTGAAAGTGCGCGCCGGAACACGTTACTTCGAAACAAACCCCTTGGTTAGGAGTAACATTAGTTCAAACCAAGGGGTTTGGTTCGAACTAATGCGTCCCGGTGTGCAGTTTCACTTTCAAAACAGCCATTAATCGGAGTAACACGCCAGCGAGATCATGCTAATGAAGCACAGGATATTTAAATCCCCGCTTCATTGACTATTTTGAATGCCTACATTTGCATCCCAAGTTCAAACTAGGGTGCAAGTGTAGACATACCCACAGAGGGTTTATTTTATACACAGAGGCCATGACAAATTTTCTGTGGGAAAATTGTAGGGGAATATAGGAAGCTGTGTCTATCCTGAATATTGTCTTCCCCTTTCCCTTCCAGTTCACTCCGGTGTTCCTTTCTGTGCTGCCTCAGTCCTTTCCTATATACTGTCTCTCTGTCTATAGGCAATGTCTTAACTAACTCTGCTGTGCTTGACCCAGGGCCACCACCAACAATCCTATCCCGCCTGTGTCTGTCCTTGAACATGTTTCTCAGCAGGCTAACAGGAACTGAAAGCCCAGAACTTTAAAGGAGCAAGGGCTGGTTGTTAGGCTGCACCGACTCTGAGACTGTAAGTGTAGGCATCGCACGTTTGTGATGAGACTTAATTGTAACGTACTTTTAAATAAGAAATGTAGCATTGTACTGATGATTTTTAAACAAATTTTAAAAATCCTATTTAAATTTTAAAATATCAGGTTTTTTTAATTAAATCATTGCTTTTTATCCACCCTGGTCTGTTGTAGGGCTCAATGCTGAGGTTAAAATTGTGAGTATACTTATAAGGATCATTTCAAAGCAGCCTCTCTTTGGCATGGCTTCTCCGGGGAGAAACCATAATTCTTAGGAAGCAGGACCAACTCTGTAGTTCGAACCATGCTTCTGAGATGGGCCATGGGATGCTGCAGTGGATGATAGTCTACATTTGTCTGGCACAGCTGTGTGTGTTTAATACTGCATAACGGGGAACATTAGTCTACTGCGGATATGCAGGCACCTGCACCAGTAATAGGCATAGCAGCTCTAGGTGGGGAAGTGAAGATTAACTTCGTTCTTTTGCATCTTAAGCAATTTGCGGAGCTCTTTTCCTAAAAAGATCTTAAGTTCTTTTACTGATGGAGATGCAGTGTCTACCATAGGGGATTTTGATCTTGGCTTGAGCCTCTAGGTGTCACCATGATACAAATCAGATATAACAATTAAAGTAAACTAGATTGAGGACTTTTTGTTGATAAACTTGGGTGTGTTGGGTTGTGACACTGGGGGAAACACCCGTAGTCTTGCAAAAGTGTGATGAGATTGCTTTAATAACCATGAATAATTGAGAAGACCAGATTTTTTTTTTGTTAGCTCTCCAACCAAGGGAGAGGTGAAAGGTTCATCTTATTTCTGCCTGAGTGCTCTGCATGTGTTGCACACTGAATGACAGGAAGAGCTATATTTGCTTATAATGCTATGCCACTGCATGTTTCTGCCGCCTTGTCTATGCTAGAAAGGGTCTGCCTATTGCAGTCTTTGCCTAGTATAACGGTGTCTACAGAAGAGCTTTTGTTGGTATAACTGCATTGGTTAGTGGTTTGACTTGCTTGCTCCTAACTAACGTAGCTAGGCCAGCAAAGTGTGCAGCATTGCAGACTATAAGGGTCTGACCACAATGTGAAGTGTTGCATTCTAATTGCCCTCTGTGGTCAATGCTGGTGCCAATTAGCTACCTTTTAATCTGTGAAAGCCACAAGCATGCTGGGCTGTTAGATCTCACCAGTCTGACGTGCTCTGCAATACCCAGACCTGTTAGTGCACACTGACGCACAGTTTTGACAGACATTAATGTCTAGGCCTGGGAGAGGCTTACAAGAAATGATGGCTTTTTATTTTTTGCCTTTTGTGGTATTTAGTAACTTCCAAATACAGGATGCACCTCCCTGAACTGGGACTTTCTGGTCCAGCCACATTTGTGGGCCAGGACCATGGATGTTCCCAAGTCAGAGACCCTTGTAGCCAGGAGTCAGGCAGCAGAAGGGCCAGCATCGAGAAGCCCTACTTGGTGGTGCTGACAGCCACCCGACATGGCAGTCAGGGCCACAGCAGTGTGGCAAGAAGGCCGGGGCCGCAGCAGCCTAGCAGGGAAGCCAGGGCCAGCGGCAAGATAACCAGTCAGGGCCTGAAGAGTGGCGGACTACAGAGCTGGTGGCAGTGGACTTCACCTGGCCCAGCAAATCCCTTCATTTGGCACTGGTCAGCTCCCAAGAGCTAACAAGAAACTCCAACCAGTACACTTTCTCTCTTGGTAAATAATAACGCAATTGTAATGCCTTTAACTGGAAGCAGCAGTGTTAATGACTGATTAATCCTCTGACCTGCAGTCCCTGGTTATTAAAGTGAGGAGCACAGATAATTGCATTTAGAAAAGACTGGCATGTCATGTCAATGGAGCACTAAAGAGCTATTGTTTTCAGCTTCACTTTCTTAAAACACTGTAAGAAGTGTGATCATATTGATCAGGGTTACTGGATTTGTAATTCAACATATAGTGAGCCTCAAGTTTTTCATGTGTCTTTTTTTATTTTGCAAACACAGTGGCTGTGTCTACACTGGCATGAATTTCTGGAAATGCTTAAAACAGAATAGATTTCGTTATAAGTATTTCCGGAAAAGGAGCGTCTACATTGGCAGGCAGCTTTTCCGGAAAAGCCCCTTTTCCGGAAAAGCGTCCGTGGCTAATGTAGACGTGCTTTTCCGGAAAAGAGCCCCGAGCATCATTTTCGCGATCGGGGCTTTTTTCCGGAAAAGACTACTGGGCTGTCTACACTGGCCCTTTTCCGGAACAGTGTTCTGGAATAAGGACTTACGCCCGAGCGGGAGCAGAATAGTTTTTCCGGAATAGCGGCTGATTTTGTACAGTAGAGCATCGTTGCTTTTCCGGAAATTCAAGGGCCAGTGTAGACAGCTTGCAGCTTATTCCGGAAAAGCGGCTGATTTTCCGGAATAAGTGGCCCAGTGTAGATACAGCCAGTAGGTTTTGTGAAGGAGCAGCAGTCCTTCAAATGCACCAAATTGAGGCGAGCATGGATTTATAAGGAACAGAAATTAAGATGTGTAGCTGCTTGGTGTGTCTGAAGTCTGAAACATCTGTGGCTGGGGAGCTTGCAAGTTTAAAATTTGTTTAGCAACTTGAGGGTGGTTTTGCTTTGTTTAGAAAGTATGCTGATTATTTCAGATGCTTTGTCTTTAGAGAATGTAAAACAGTTTAGCTGTCTCAGGTCTGAACTTAATACCTGTCATTGGCAGTAGGTAACCAACATTAATCCATGATTCTATTCAACTCCACCATTGTTTAAACAAAAAACAGTTTCCATAAAAATGTTGGCATGTGTGTTATGCAGGGAGCATAATGTCTTCATTGAAATGGTACCAAAAGCAATTTTTTTAAAAGTCCCATTATTCACAAGACAGACAATATTTTACAGAGTTTTAACATTCGGCCTAAGACTAACATGTCAAATTTGGTACTTTGCTGACTTCGGTACAGTTGCATCTACTTAAATCGTGGCTGACACTGACCTCATAGGTCTATTATTTTTATTGTACATGTTTAATATTTTATTTGTAAATTTTTATATTTGATATTTATAATATTTTTAATATTTAGTATTTCTGTGTGTCAGTATTTCACCTTGCAATTTTAGAACGTGGTATAAAGCCAATAACAAGTCCTTTTCTTGCAGTTACAGAACGTGGTATATAGCCAATAACAAGTCCTTTTCTTGCAGTTACAGGGATCCATTAAGAGAAAACTGGAAGATGACAGCTCCCCTGCTTCCAGCGGCATGCCCGATGTTATTTTCCCAAGCGACAACAAGAGACTCTGTCTTGATGATGTAACTCTATCTATGGGCCAAGATACCAATCCCAATGTGGCATGTCCCGATATGCAGAACTCGCCATTCTCCACCAATCACAGCGCTTCTTCCATGGGAGTAGCTGGTCATTCAGTGCTACTTGAAAACAATCACATGAATGGCAGTGGCATTGGTTCTCCATTTTCGGTACCACCCAACACAGAGATAGGACAGAAAGGGACGATAGGTGGGCAGAATAATGTTGTTCACTATGACGAAAAAGGAAACAATATGCAATCCATGGACCAGGAACTGCAAGATCTGTTAGAAGAGCTGACAAAAATGCCTGATCCTTCTCCTAATGAGCTGGATCTTGAGAAGATCTTGGGAAGCAAGGCCGAAGAGACACTTGGTCTGAGCCACCCACAGGCAAGCATCACCACCACGCCAAAGTCCTCTCCGCAGACCTCTCACTTGGAGAACCACATTGTCAACAAAGACTTTTCTCCAGGTTGCAATCCAACGAGTGGAGGATCACCTCAAATGAGGTCTTCATCTGCTGTTGCATCTCCCATCTCTTCGGCAGCACAGAGTAAGAACCAGGCCCAGCCTATTCTGCCCGTACCCTTGTCCAACATGCCTGGGTCTAACTGGCATGCACAGCAACTAAAGCAGCTAGCAGCAAACAAACAAGTGTCTACTACTAAACAGCAAGTGCAGGCTCCCAACTGGCCAGCCATGGCCACCCCAGGTCTTTCTCCACCTTACAGGCCGGGATCATCACCACACCATCAACCTTTCAGCCCTCAGAATGTCATGGTGTCCAGCATGGCTTCTAATAGTTTACCTGGAAACAACATTCAAAGTCCTCAAAACACTCTGCTTTCAAACATGTCCAGTACCAACCCATCCAGTGGGCCTTCTCCGCCATACGGGTCAGAGAAGCTTTCCAGTCCTGCTCTGAACCAGCCGCCTTTCAGTCCCCAGAATCCCATGCTCTCCAATATGACTTCAGCCAGCCTGCCGACCAACAACATTAAAAGTCCGCAGAACAATTTGGTTTCCAGCATGGCCTCCACAACGACGGGGCCCTCCCCACCATACAGGCCAGAAAAACTGTCCAGCCCAGCTCTGCACCAGCAGCCGTTTAGTCCCCAAAATACATTAATTCCTAACCTCACTGCCACCAGCAATCCCACCAGTATGCAAAGCTCTCTCTTCAAATTGATGACTACAAACCAGCCCAAAAACATGAACATCATTATGCAACAGCCGTCGAATGGCTTGCAGAATGAGAATCCTGTGGCCCAAGACCAGTTTTCTTTCAATAACACCAAACCGCTGTCTCATTTTGCATCGGAGTCAACTACTCCAAAGATGTCAACCATGACTGCTGGTCCAGGGCAACAATCCCTCATTCACTATCTCCAGCCACAGCAGCAAGCGCCGGCCACACAACAGTCTCCTCAGGCTAATAATACCCAGTTTATTGAGCAACATCTTCGACAACTGATGCAACCGCCTCGGATGCAGAGACACATGCAGCCGACTGCTTTGCCGTCTCAACCCAGACAGGTTAGTACGTCTTCTTCTACAGTAAATGGGTTACATGAAAACATTGGTGGTTTTTGTTGGTCTCCTCCCTCCATGGATATGTGCCTAGATAAGTGAGGCCACATCTGGAGTATTGCATCCAGTTCTGAGCCCCTCTCTACAGCAAGGATGTGGATGCATTGGAGAGGATCCAGCAGAGGGCAACAAAAATGATGAGGGGGCTGGAGCACATGACCTACAGGGAGAGGCTGAGGGATTTGGGCTTGTTTAGTCTGCAGAAGAGAAGAGTGAGGGGGGATTTGAGAGCAACCTTCAGCTACCTGAAGGGGGGTTCCAAAGAGGATGGCGAGAGAATGTTCTCAGTGGTGGCAGATGGCAGAACAAGGAGCGATGATCTTAAGTTGCAGTCAGAGAGGTCTAGGTTGGAGATTAGGAAAAACTATTTCCCTAGGAGGGTGATGAAGCACTAGAATGGGTTACTTACGGAGGTGGTAGAATCTCCATCCCTAGAGGTTTTTAAGTCCCGGCTTGACAAAGCCCTGGCTGGGATGATTTAGTTGGGGTTGGTTCTGCTTTGGGCAGGGGGCTGGACTCGATGACTCCTGAGGTCTCTTCCAGCTGTAGGATTTTATGATAAAATGATAACAATACCCTGGGGTTCTCGGGAGTCATTTTATTTATTTCTTCACTTCAAATACTATGTAATTCCATCGCACACATCCTACTTGTTTCACCTGAATGGACTGTTTCACACTGTTCTACAAGTGTCTCAAACCACTTACATCACTTTTTAAGCGAATGGTTTTGCTCCTCCAGTTAGCTTATTTTGATAGTCATGAAGATATTCGGAGAATGGATTTTCCATCCCTTGTTGCGCTCTGTTCAAAGAAAGTTTCATGCTCTGAAGCAGATTCCACCCCAAGTTACATCTCTGAAGCCAGGGAGGTTCAAGTGACATGGAAAATAAAGCCAAAGTGTGGCCCCTCTGTGTTTAATGGATGGGCAAATACCGCTCCACGGGCCAAATCTAGTTCCCCAGGCTTAGCCCCTGACAGGCCGCCACTATATTTACTTGTGCCTCTGCAGGTGCAGGTGATTGCTGCTCCCATTGGCCGCCGATTGCCCTTCCTGACCAATGGGAGCTGCGGGAAGCGCTGTCCCAGTCCATGCTGTTTCCCGCAGCTCAGATTGGCCAGGAATGGTGCTCTGTGGTCAATGGGAGCAGCAGTCGCCTGTGCCCACAGAGGCGCAGGTAAATATGGTGGCAGCAGCCTACCAGGGGCTAACCCTGGTGAACCACTACTGCCTTATTGCTTACCTCTGGTTTAACAGATCAAACTGCAGGACTTGAGTAGCCCAGAGGCAGACGTGAAATACCTGTTACCAAAACTCACCCCAGAATGACTGGCTTTCGGTGAGTGCCTGCCCTTCCCTCAGTATATCTGGACTATGTGTCGAGGGGCTACGGGACTGCCACCATCAGGGAGGAGAAATGCTATTCATTTCTTTCGTGTAACCCCTATTGGGAGAGGTGCTATCTGTACCCTGCCTGACCTGAGAGATGTTCCTTGTGACGTAGGGTCTTTAACAAAGGGAGAGTCAGAGGAATGGGGGATCAGGTGCTAGGGAAACAAAGCGGTTACAATAACAACGTACCCTCTCAGCTAACCGAAGCAAAACTCTGGCAGCAGAATCTGTCGGGCTGCGTTATTGATTACAGTGGACTCTGCCCAGACAACAACTGGCGTGGAGTCTAATCGCTTATCATTGGCCAGCATTCAGAAGAGCAGAGGTTGGTCTCTAAGGTGCTGGTGGGTTTAGCTGAGGAATGATAGACAGAGTGTGCCAGCAGTTCCCACAATGTAGTATCTTAGCGACCACAACCTTTTCCTGTGCTAAGAATAAGAAATAAGGTGATAAATGTCAGTTTCTGAATGGTAACTAAATGTAGCTCCTTTGTACAGCGGCCATTTCAAGACTAACTCACCCTTTTCCAACTACAAATTGAACCTCTATAGTCCGTCACTTTCTGGTCTGGCAACATCCATGGTCTAGCGCGATTGTAGTTAGCTGGATGTCCACTTATTCTGGGTGTGGCCAAGTTTCCCGTGGCCCCATAAAGTTTGTTTACAGACACCCGTCCTAGCTCTCAGGGTTCTGTGCTGTTGGTTAGCTCTAATTGACCCCTATGTGTCTTCCAAGAGCCCAGTCAGCAGTGGAAGTGTTGGTGATGCTGCTAGACAATATTGACCTCCTGTGGTTTGGCAAATTCTCTGGTTCAGCACCAATCAGGTCTCGAGGGTGCCAGATGTGAGAGGTTCAATCTGTGGTGTGCTCCCATCACCCTTTATTATGGTGCATCTACTTCAAACAGGCTGATAGCAAGCTCACTGAGGTTACTTATACAAACATACGTAACATATTCTACTGGGCACTTCAGGGGTTGGTTAGGCATTAAAACAGAAAAAAAAACCACAGGTTACAGATGGAAAACCCTGATCCAGCAAAGCACTTAGGCACATGTGTAATTTAAGCATGGGAGTAGGGTGGCCAAACATCTTGATTTTATAGGGACAATTCCGTTATTTGGACTTGGTCATATATAGGCACCGATTGGCCGCCACCCGCTGTCCCAATTTTTCACACTCGCTGTCTGATCACCCTCCATCTGAGCAATTCTTTTGTCTTCAGTGAGACTAGTCGTCCTCTTAAAGTAAAGCATGCACTGAAGTTGTTTGCTGGATCATAGGCTAAGAGCTTTTCTCCAGCCCCCGTTCTTCCCACTGGGAGTTTGGGATTGCCTTGTCCCTGCAGAATTCCTCAGGGCACCAGTTATCCCTGCTTCGCATTGCCACACAACTTTTGAGCTCTGACATCGTTGGTTTATCCTTTTAGCCTACAAAAATTGTCCAAGATCCCCTTTGGAGACCCTCTTTAATTGGTCAGTGGCTCCTCTTCAGGCATCTTTCTTCATGCTCGGCCTGTGCTGAATTTCTAGCCCATGCCTGCCTACAAGTGAGTGAGCAAAAGTGTATAATTTGGGGGCTATCAGTCAAGATCAAGGACAGCTCAGGCAATGATTACAGGTGATGATCATTTCACATGTCCACGTCAGTTCGGGTAGGTCACAGTGCCTCACTGATTTTATAAGGAAAGACTTATGACATTAATTATATTGAAACTCCACAGCTTCTCCAGGTGTTATAGCTTGTTAAGCTGCCTGTGATCAATGGTGGGTGTTGAAGATCAGGATACTTGCCCTCGGTTTTAATAACTTTATGACAGTTTTTAATGAAAAAGTGGCCCTTGCATGTAAAATTATAAAAAAAGATACCGCAACAAGAGACTATTCTAGACACATGAAACATCAAAATTCCAGTATAGTTAAATTTATGTGAATATTAGTACTTACCTTTTGCTGTTTTGTATATGATTATTTTCTTAGTTGGGTCAAAAGCACGGATGTTGAGATTTTGTCTTGATCCTGATTTCACCCCAGGCTTATGCCCGGGTAGCTCAGTGAATTTCAGTGCAGTTACTCCAAAACATTGATGTAGCAGAACTGGGCCCTTTTTGGTTTATTGCCACCACTTCTCCATCAAAACCAGTAACAAACAGAACTATTCACATATAGATCTATTGTGTCATTAAAGGACAAGAAATAAAAGATTGGGGGAGAAGAGAGAGGTGAATAACTTCTCCGTCTTTTGAAGTAGTAACTGGTGATGGAGAACAATATTTTATCCCTGGTCAAAAATATATGGGAAGAGGAAATTAACACAGTACCTTGGAATGTTGGTTGTTTTGAAGCCATCCCTCTACTCCATGCATACTTGTGTTTGTATGTGTAAAATGTATGAAGAGAAAGCATAGAGAGTATGCTCTCCTTTTGAGCAAGAGGTGCAGCTTTGTACTGAAGAAGAAAGTGGATGGTGGCCAGTTGGAGGAAGAACAATAAAGCATGAAACTTGATCTCTGCACAAGGCAGAAGGGAAGGGAGCAGCAGCTGTGACATAGACCCAAATCCTGAGCTGCTTTGTTGTTGTTGTAACACATTAAAGAGAAGACTCTGCATTCCAAAAGTTGGACTAACCTTCTAGTGTCTTGCAGCAATATGTTTGTTATACTTCAGAGATATAAAATATATCAGCCAGGCTATTTTCAAAGTATCATAGTGCCTGGACAACTGGCAAATCTGATCATGTCTAATCTTCTCCCATCTAAAGCACTGTGTCTTCATTGCTGGGCATTGACAGATATTGATTTAGCCACTGACAGTTAGCATTGTGTGCAATGGGAAAGCCTGCTACTGCCGGCGCCAGTCTTGTAGATAAATTCCAGTTTTCATTTTGCTCATGTAATGCAGAGTGAAATTACGCACGCTGATTTGGATTCACAAATCCACAACTGCCGAGAAAGACACAAAAGGCCAAATTTGTCAAAAGCGGCTCCCAAAAATGCCATGCATCCTTTTCCACAGTTAGGAGATTTGGTGGCGAAAAAGGGGTGCCAGTTTTTGGACATGTGGCAAGTTGGAAAGCAGAGCGCCAACTGCATTTGCCACAGCCCTGCATCTCTCTGATGTGTATGCACTGCAGTTTGCATTTGCAAATGTTTGTTCTTCTAGATCAAGAATGAAGTGCCTGATTCTCCTTCTCATGTACTATTGCCTTCAGCCGAACGACTCTTGATTCCTATTGGCATGAGAAGAGAACTGGGTCTTTGAGGAAGGAAGCAAAGGGCCCCTGAAGGTTAAAGGTGGGCAGGTGAGCTTGCAATGCTAGTGGCAGAATTTAAGCTACTTTGAAATCAGTAGCGGTTGGGACACTTTCAGTCTTCTAGGGCACAAATTTGACATAGTAAAATTATTCAGAACCCGGTAAAAGAATGGCAGATGGGTTGGGTAAATACCTTAAAAACAAAATACCATTTTTCTGGCTGTTTTGCAGAGGAGATAAATATTCCAGAGCCATCCTTTGGGTGCAACAGTGGACTCTCCGAAGCTCCTCTTGCTATCCAGC